CCACCTCCTGCTTGCTTGCATTCATTTCCAGAGGAAGCAGTCATTCAAAGCCCTGGATTGATTGATTGCTCTGGGCTATTCCACAGCTGTAGCCAATTAAGCAGGCTTATCTCCTATCTCTGAACCAAGGGAGGATTTACAGCTGCCTGCTGCAACCAGGAAGTAACAGGGAGAGGTGGCTTACAATTTGAGGTTTGGCTGCAGGGGCGGGGGGTGGGAGGGAGGGGTAACGCTCTGCTCATTACCCCCAGGATTCTCACTTTTACCCTATTTGGGGTAATTTAGGGTACAGCCTGGGGGCTGTACTGCAGGAAAATGGGGTGAGGCTGAACCCGGACAAGATGGAGGTCCTGGGGGTGGGTGGACCCACTATCAGTGGTTTGGGAAACTCCCTCTCTTTTGGGGGGTGACTCTCACTGCTAAGAATGAGGTTCCACACCACCTATTTCCATCTTTGGCGGATTGCCGGGCTGTGTCCCTTTCTTGACATTGGTGCACTTACCACCTTGGTTCATGCGCTCGTAATCCCGAGATCAGATTACTGTAATCCGCTCTACATAGGGCTGCCTTTGAGATTAATGCAGAAACTACAAATGGTGCGGAATGCAGTGGCCAGACTTCTTAGTGGGGTGAAGAAACATCAACATATTACTCCCACTCTGGCTGCATTGGCTGCCCATTCGATTCCCTAACCCTAACCAGTTTAGGACCTCAATACTTGGTGGAACACCTCCTCCCACCTAGATCTACTCGTGTTACCCGATCTAGCCAGGAGGGGTGACTGAGGAGCCTAACGCCGAGGGAGGCCCGGAAAGAAAAAACAAGACACCGGGCCTTCTCAGCAGTGACTCCCAGGCTTTGGAACACACTCCCCCCTGAGATTCATCTGGACCCCTCGCCGGGCACTTTCAAAAACCAACTCAAGACCTGGTTATATAGAGAGGCCTTTCCTCCAGACTCTACGTAATTCTCTCTCTTTCTTTATCTATTCTGTTTTGTGCTCATGTAGGTAATGGTTATTTTATATTAATTATTTTTATTACGTGTTTGAGAGCCGACCACAGTAGACTATGTCTAAATGGGCCTCATATAAGCTCAATAAATAAATAAATAAATTGCATGGAAATGAGACGAAAGTTGAGTGGTTTTCCCTGCCCTTTTGTTAGGCTGGGGTGTCTGTTGCTCTTCCCGCCCCGCTGGCACCTTGGATCTGGCTGACCCTTCCAGGGAAAGTGGGGGGGGGGGGAACAGCCAATTTAAAAAGGGGCAGATGCATCCCCCCAAACCCACCCACCCACAGGCAGCTGTTGGTTTTTCCTGTTTTCCAGAATGGAAAGAGGGGAAGGGGCAGGAGCAGAAGGGGCGGAGCCTCAAAGGGGGGGCAGAAACAGGAGAGGGAAAACATTCCTGGGGGTTGCAAGAGCCTCCTTATTCCACACCAACAGTGTGGGACAAGCATTTCATGCCCCCCGTGAAAATAAAGCAGGGAGTGTCCCCGCCCCCATAGAGCCTTTTCCCGGCTCCACTCAACCTTTTCAGAATGGAAAGAGGGGAGGGGGAAGGGGCAGAGCCTCAAAGGGAGGCAGAAACAGGAGAGGGGAGACCCATGTGGGGGGTACCAGAGCCTCTTTATTCCTCTCCCTCATGGCCAGGGCCAACCCCTCCCTGCAGAAAGAAAGAAAGCCAGACTGGGATGGATCCACTGTGAGGAGGCGTCTGAGGGGAAGGTGAGACCTGCCCTCCCAGGAGAGCAAGAGGGAGGCAGGAGCTCCTGCCTGGCTCCTCCAGATCACACGCCAACCTTGGAGGGAAGGAAGGAAGGTCTGACTCCCTCTGCAAGTTCAAACATGACAAGAAGAATTCACACTTGGAGAAAGGGGTGACTGGGTCAGTCTGTGCCAGTGACAGGTACAAACAGACACACAGACACAGAAGGGCATCCCTCCCGCTCTGCCTGTGAGGAAGGCCAAACAGGCCAGGAAATCCTTCTGAAAGCAAAAAGGAGATCTGGAAAAGAGGCCAAGAAAAGGTGCAGTCTCCCCCCCCATGCCCTTGCTTTCTCCTCTTTCTCCAAGGCTTCTATATGTTTGAGATATTTTCCCCTGTTTTCCAGCGATGGGATTTCTGCAAGGTCAGCATCTGGGCCGAATCCTAAGGGCCAGGGTCCCCTGAGCAAGGCCGGCCCAGTGGGGCCCCTCCTGACTGGACGGGGAGCGTCTCTCCCTCTGCTCGCCCACCCAGGCCAACTCATCCACCCAGGTGTGGCCTATGCAGGGGGGGGGTGGGCACTCCAAAAAAGGCCAAGACAACCACCCCCCAGGAGTGGGGCTTTCTCAGTGGTGGCCTCCAGGCTCCAGAAGTGGTTTTCCTTGGGATCAACGTACGGCTTCCTGCCTCTCGACCTTCAGAAAAGAGAAGGAAGGAAGGCTGAGCTTCTCAAAGGAAGCCTTTGGGACATAAGGGTTTTTATTGTTATTGCTGTTGTTGTTCTCTCTCTCTCTCTCTCTCATATCCCCTCCTCTCTCCTCAGAAAGAGCCCGGGATAATATTTAAAACTAAAAACAGGAAACAGGCAAATAATTTTTGAAAAATCAAAGAAATACCATATTTATTTATTTATTTTATTTATTCCCCACCTATCTGTTCAACATGACCACTCTAGGGGCGGCTTCCAGACATATAAAAACACAGTAAAATGTACATATAACAAAAAAAAACCAACATACTAAACAATAACAATAGGCAGCCAACAATAAACAGTGGACATATTTTTCAAGATGGCAATATAACAAAAAATAAATTAAAGAAGAAAAGATTGTGTTATCTGGAGGGAAAGCCTGCTTGGAGTCCCCTAGCATCACCCGCTGGGTTTTTCCCTCCAGGAAGGACCAGATCCACCATAAAAAAGAGTCCAATCCTGGAGAAAAAGACCCAGAAGGACACCGTGGATGATGGTATTGAACGCTCAGGAGAGGCCCAACAGAATCAAAAGGGGACACACGCCCTTTGTCCAGATCCCAGCCGAGGTCATCCACCAAAGGGACCAAAGCTATGGTCTCTCTCTTCTAACCAGGCCTGAAATGGCCAGATTGAAAGGGATCCAGGTAATCCATCTCCTGCAGGAAACGCTGGAGCTGAGAAACCATCACACGCTTGTCAAGAGTGGTGCAGTTTTTAGCATTGTGTGTTGCCAAAGCTCTTTGTTCCAGTTGCAGACGTCAAGAAAATCAGGCAGAGACAACAATGTGGAAAAATATATACAGCAGTAACCCCATTACAGCTGTGAGGCATGAGCAAGAAAAGAAATCACTACACAGTGTCTCTCTATATTCTCACTCTCCAATCAGTTGTCAGAGATGATTACATCATCTTCAACGTAAAGAGGTGTATTCCAGTCTCCTTGTCAGGCACCCCTGCTGACACTTTGTACCTGATCTCTGTGCTTCATGTTCATGGCTGTAAAATTCAGGTTCCATTTTATTTGGTGTATTTTATATAACCTTGCCCAGGAGTTGGAATCTTAGAGACTAACCTCTTGTTGTCCAGTAGACTGGGATCCCAGGAGGGCTTCTTCCATCATGGTCTTCTTCCTGCCTCCTTGAAAGCAAATGGGGATCCTGCCCTCCCTGCAAAGAGGCCTTCACCACTTCCTGACGGGTTCATTGGCAGGAACTCTCCCACCCTTTTCTGGGTCTTCCCCTCCCTGCCAGAAGCCTCTTTTGCTTTTTACTCCCACCTTGTTGGGGGAGGGCAGGCCCCCTGCAGTGTAGGGTTGCCAGACGTCCAGCAAAAGGAGGACATGTCCTCTTTTTAAGGTTAATGTCCTCCGTCCGGCAGGCAAAGGGAAAGCTCCAATTAAGGCAGGAAGAAAGGTGTGAGAGAGGGACGGGTGGCTTCATCAAGCTTGTTTAAAGGTAAGATTGTAGAAAATTTAGGGAGGAAGGTACGGTGTGTGTATGTGTGAGACTGACTTTAATAAATCATTGAAAAAAGGATGTGACTGCAAGGGAGAGAAGGCTCCAATTAAGGTGGGAAGTAAGGTGCAAGAGAGGAACCGGGTGGTTTCATCAAGCTTGTTTAAATATATGTAGAAAATTGAGGAAGGGAGGGAGGGAGGGGGGGAGGGTGTATGAGAAAGACTGAATCAACACGATGAAAATAGGAACTGATGCAAGCAGGAGCGAAGGCTGGTCTGGACTTCTGGGGGGGCAGCGGTTGCCGAGGGAAAGGAGGCAGAGAGAGAGTTCTGTCCAAAGAATTCCTGGGACAAAAACCTACGGGAAGCAAACTAGCAGAAGGCTTGTGAGGGTTGTGACTTTTTCAAACTCTCTCTCTTTGTGTGTTTTTGTGGGTCAACCCATTCGGTGTGGCTGGCATTAAAAACTAACCCGTTTAGATCAACCACAAGCAAGGCTGGCTGACTTGGCTGTTCATCTGTGCCATCATCATGCTCCAGATTTCCAAGGAGAGTTAGAGAATTTCCCAAGCATTATAGGTGCAAATACAAAAAAATTAAAAATAAAATGATGCCTCTTAAAGACTAACTTTTTTAAAAAAATGTGAGGTAGGTAGGGAGGTTCAATGTATATATGTATGTGTGAATGTATGCATGCATATACTATGTATTGTATTACTGTCCCACCCATCTAGTAAAAGAGCTCTGAGCACCTAACAACTATAAAGCGAACAGATATGACAACTGACTCACAGCAGGTGGTGGCTTTTCAGCTCAAGGGGTTCCTGGATGAGATGGGTTATCTACTGTAGATCCATTTCAACCTGGTTCAGGCCTGGTTATGGATTGGAGGTCACCTTAGTGGATGACCTATACTGGAAACTGGATAAGGGATCTGTGTCCCTGTAGGTTCAGGTGGACCTCTTGGTGGCTTTTAATACTATTGACCATGATATCTTTCTGGGTAGTCTATCTGAGATGGAACATGGGGGCCACTGTTTTACAGTGGCTCTGGTCCTTCCTGAAAAGAAGAGCTCAAGAGAGGGGTGCTAGATGATTCCTGTTCACCACCCTGGCCACCAGCCTGGGGCGTTGCTCAGCATCTGTTTCGTCCCCTGTGTTATCCAACATCTGCATGAAACCACTGGGAGAAGTTGTCTGGGGTTTTGGGGGTGGGACTCAATAGGATGTGGATGACATCCAACTCTATTTTTGCTTTTCATCTAAATCCGAGGAAACTGTTATAGGTTATAAATTAGTGTCTGGTGTCAGTAATGGATTGGAGGGTGAAAGCCTGGTCTCTCAGTTGTTGGAAGGATCCAGATGTGCCACAGAGCCCAAAAGGCATGCAGCTGAATTGAGAGAGCTCCTTGGTGGTTGAGAAGACAGTTTTAACTCTGTCTTCCTTCCACAAGGGATCTGCCAGTAATCCATGATGAGGTCCAAGAGTTCTGGAAGACTAAACTCTCTAATGTCTTATCCACTCACGGCATTAAGATGTTGGAGGATGATGTGAAATTGAACACTGCCATCCGGTTTGGATACTAAGACAGGTTGGCACCTCCATGGGCAATGGGATGGCTGTATGACTCTGAGATGGATGACATTTTTCACTGCCCCTCCAATTTCCTGCCATAGGTGTATTGACCTGTTTCTCCCTGGAGCCCTCATTACTACACCTGGGTTGATGTTGATGACAGGATTCTCTAATAAGTCAATGAAAATACATGACAGAATTCTACCTTTTCTTGAAGCTGTTTGTGAAGGGGAAAAATCCTCCCTCAGGGCTACTTGCTTCTGGGATTCCTGCTCTACCATGACAGCCACAGGTCCCGGCAAGGCATCTCCTACATTCCCAAATGTAGGGAATGGCCCTTCCACTCCTCCTCCAGATTTACATGAAAGAGTTACAGTGGGTTGTGATGATTGGACATATAAATAATGTACTCAATGGGCCCAACACACTGGACTACCTCAAATGGGCTCTGTCACTGGCCAAGGAACTTTGCTGAGGTGGAGTGGAAGAGACGGACTACCTTTGGTTTCAGTTGATTTCAATTTGGTGTTGTAACCATGCTTCTGGGCCAGTTGGAACCTACTGGTAACTGTTCTCACATTCCATGCAGCTTATGTTTTTTCACTTAGGGGTCTATCAAATCAAGTATGGAACTGGTGCTCAGAGGAGACCAGGGAATATGGTGTTGGCTTTGTGGTTAGAAATACTCCAGAGTCTATTCAGAAGCACAGTGTGGATTTCGAGCTAACAGATCCATCCCTGAGATGGTTGTTGTTGTTTAGTTGTTAAGTCGTGTCCGACTCTTTGTGACCCCATGGAACAGAGCATGCCAGGCCCTCCTCTCTTCCACTGCCTCCTGGAATGGCAAGGTATTCTCCCTCAAACTGCTGCAGAGAAACGTAGGGGAAAATGACAACCACTCTTTTTTGCCTTCATAGATGATCTAACAAAGGTCTTTGATTTGGTTATCAGACAGTGTTTTTTAAATACTTCCCAA